TCTTTTCCTACTGATCCATCCTGCTTTTAAGAACATTTAGCTGGAGAACAGTGAAGGGGGTGATGAAATGAGAGGAGCAGGGAGCTGGTGGCTGTGCCCTCTGGGCTGACACCTGTTAGCCCTTGCAGGAGCGAAGCAAGGATGGCATAGCTTCCCCTGGTGAAAGCAAAACAAAATGCCTTGGTCAGGGAAGATAGAATTAGGAGGGTCTGGGCTTGATATCAAGCTTGGAGAAACCAAACTGTTCAACCTTTGCATAATGGTCGTGTGGTAGATGGTGTATGGAAAAAGTCTTTAACTGGCCTTCACTGCAGTCCCTAAATAAGGGCTGGTTGTTCCTTTTCTGCTCTGTAACTAGTAAGTGTAATGGCATTTAACAAACATCCTTGTCTATTATTGCATGTGTCCTGAAGGATCAGCAGGGCTTAAGATCTCTTCCTCTCTTAAAATCTGATTTACAGAACAGTCCAGAAAAGGAAAGGTGAGGATGAAGAACCCAGTCACGTTGGGAAGGGGTTTGCCCACATGCAGGGGTGTTCGGTGTGTGCTAATATTTACCTTCGGATGTTAATGATGCTCTGGTTTCCTTTTGAGTTGCTTGGGGATATTTCTGCTCCTGCATCCCACAGCGGAGTCCGAGCAGGTGGTTTGGCTGTGGTCGAGGGTGGCAGAGCATGGCTACACTGACCCTATTTTGGCTGGAGCCTGTGCCCAGCCCAAAACCAGGGAGCTTATTTCAATGAATGCTGCTTGATTTGCTTTAATGTTGATGTGTAAGAATGAAAAAGTGGCTGTTGGCTGCTGCTGAATGGGGGTAGAGTTATAAGCTTAATACTAGCTGCCTCTGCTCCAAGTTTTAACAGGTAATTAAATAACTAAGAATCAGATTAATGCAGAAAGATTTGGTTTTGTGGTTAAAGCTTTGGTCAGACATGGAGGAATGAGGGATTTAATTCCTCCTTTTGCCACTCTTGGCTCATCAGCGAGTCGTTCATCTCTGTTAAAATGGGAAGTAATGCTCCTTTTTGGTCTTGTTCAAGGGCTTTACATGGTGCTGGGTGCAGGCTTCTGGGGCAGCCTCTGGTCTGATTTTGGTCTAATTTTGGCTATTTGGGGTGTATTGCCACCCTCCTCTGGTGCAGCAGGGACTGAGCTGCTGGTCTCTTTGGGGAGCCCTGTGCATCTCAAGTGAAAGAATGATCCTGTGTGTAATGCTGCATAGTAATGTTATTCATAAAATAGCAAGTGTTTAAAAAAAAAAGCTCTTGTAAAGCAACAGCTAACTGTCCTCGGATGAAGGCCAAGCCCAGTGCAAACTTGTAAGAAATGCCCTGTAGGGCCTGGTTTTGGTCAGTCCAGTCTGTCCTTCTGTGCACGATGCCGTCATAGCTCCTAACAGGAGATTGCTGAGTTCAGACTTGGCTGAAAAAATCAAGGGGACGTAAAGCGATTAGCTGGGCAGGAATAAGAGGTGCTCCTGTGTGTGAAGCTCATCTTTCCGGAAAAAGCTGGAGACTTTCGTGCTGCTTAAGTCCTACTCAAACCGATGCTCTTAGTGATGAAGTGCAACACGAGCAGTCTTAGGGCTTTGGCTGGCTCCTCAGCCCTCCTTTGATTTCCAGGAGTGAGCAGAGGTGAGACACTTGTGCACATCTGTGAACAGAGGTTATTTCCTCTCCTGCTGGTTACCTGTGTGGCTTGCAGTTTGTTTGCGCAGTACCCCGACTGTTGTTTTACTTTAATATCTTGCTTTGACCTAATCCATTATAGTTATGGGGTGGTATAGAGGATCTTCCTTCTAAATGAAGATGAATTGCATGTTGTATTCAGAGGCTCACAGCAGCATGGGGAGGCAGGCAGATGCTTGAATCATCCTTTATAAATGAGAGAAGTGCTGCACCAGGGCACTGGTGATGGGTGGGGGTTGCTCAGAGGGCTCTGAGCAGAGGCTGGAGCGCTGAGCCTGCTGACGACTGGTCGCTTCTGGAGGAGGTCCAGCTCTGGTTGCATGCCCTTCACCTTGCTATAACCCCCGGGGGAGCTTTTGGCAAGCAGTTGCCATACGGCTTGCAAGTGGTGTCATTCTGTTAACGTATAGAGCTGGCAAAATCTTCTGTTTTCATGTTGCACTTCCTTCCTCTCAATATGCTGCACAACTTTACCTATAAGATCATGACAACGAGCAGCATTTAATTTGTCCAGCACTGTATGCTTCTCTCCTATGGGATGACTGTGACTGGCTCTGGTGTGCGCTGGGGCTCCCTTGCTGAAGGAGATGATGGCCACACTGTTTTTTATCACAACAGCAGCCAAGCTTTTGGACAATGGATTCTTCTGCAGGTGCTTCTGTTCCTGCAAACACCTTGGCCCTGCCGTGGCCGCTCTCCGTGGGATGGTTTATGTGCAACGCTGTGAGCGAGGCTCAAATCCCCCGGCACCCGGCGTGGGGACCCGGCTGATGTCAGGAGTCTGGAATTCACATCCCCTCCCCCTTGCTTTTGCCTTTTTCCCCTCTCCTCCCTAAATAAATGTTGGAGGCAGCTTAGGAGCTGGCTGATTTGAATCTCTTGGAGTGCAGGGAGGTAACTGGAAGCAGAGCTGGAGTTTTATTGTAATTTTAGTTGTTTAAACACAGTTTGGGCTGTGTGTATGCAGATATTTGTGTGAAACAAAACATGGTTAAAGGCAGTGGGAAGATCTAAGCGGCAAGGACAGCTTAGACAAATGTCTGTCATCCATATACTGTCTAACAAGAGTAAGAGAGATGAGGAAACATTACAGCTGCATGCTGCTTGGCCCAGACTCTCTCAGCTGGTTTATTATCTGCAGTGTTGACTTGGATTTGCCATATGTTTGTAATCTCTCATTGAGGGCCCAACTTCTTAGGATTGTGGAAACTTTTAAAAACTGTCTAACAATGTACATGAATTTTCCATGCAAATATTAGGCTGCTCTTCTTGGTAACCAAAACTTTTTATATTGTAAAAGATCTCTTCATGTTATTTCTTTCTATTGCTGGGTTGTTTGTGTTCAGTGCTGATGTGCATGCTGTAGCTCTTCCCCAGGCATGCAGCCAGTTGCATACAGCATATCCCATGGAAATCCTCTCCCTCTCTTTCCTCTCTGGTCTTTCTAGTAATATGCTTGATCCCAATATGAGGCCAACTTTTTTTTCCCCTTGCAAAATTTTTCCTATATTATTTTCCTGCCCTTCAGGAGATCTGTCCTTTTTTTGCAGTAGCAGCGATGCCATGCACCTTCCTGAATGCAGTTGGGCTGTTTGTGGTCATTCTGCAAACTGGTAATAAGCTTTGCACCCTTGGCCACGCAGTGTGGTGAGATGTCTTGAGATCCTGATGCAAGCTGGGGCAGCCAGCCCAGGGGGGTTTGTCTTGGGTATCATTGCAAATATCAGGTTATCTAATGTGTGGCTGTCCTTGAGGATCTGAATAATATCCCTCTTTGGGGAAAATAATGGATCAAGTGGCAACAGAATACAGCTGTGATATATTGCCCAGGCAAGGTTAAATGGAGCTGTCATGCAGACTTTTGCTTTCAGCACTGCTAGGGGTTTGAGTTGGGTGGTTCAGCTTTCTGGCAGCACTTTGCTCCAAGTATCAAGTCAAAATTCAAACTTTCTTTTAAGCATTTAAAGTTGGAACTGGTTATTCCACTTTTGGAGACGCAATCTCTCCTGACATGCGCAAGACCAGGTTAGGAAGTTAATGAGACGTATCACTTGCATTACTTAATCGATGTTCTAAAGACCTGAACATCTGGAGGTGAACCAGACTTTGCTGGTGTGGGGAGCCCTGGGTGTGAGACAAGTGCTCTCCATTGACCAGTTTAACATCTGCAGCAGTGAGACCCTCAGTCAGGATATGAGCCTAATAGGATGTGGTTGAGGAGGGCTTTTGAGGAAAGAAGGCTTTTGCTTCATGGCATGAGTCAGAATGCCCATGCAGATTTTTCCTCTTCTGTGAAGTGTATGTGTGGTGTTGGCCATGCCAATGCTCCTATGTACTGGTGGTTGTGCAGAAATCCCGGTGTGTCACGGGGCGGGGGGGGGAATACCTGGCAAAGAAGGGGAGTTATTTGGTGGATTTGCCTGGGCTTGGGCTGAGTTACAGAGGGGGCACTTGGCTGCCTGCAGTGGAGTTGTGCTGTACCTCTGCCCCATGCCACCTGCCTTCACGCGGGGCAGGGTTAGATGCTGTGCACGAGCCTGCAGGCAGCAGGAACAACCTGTGAGCACCAAAGCACTGTGCTGGGATCCTGCTCTGCCATAATTTGTTTGTACCCTGAGGCATGGCTGTGGGTTTACCTGTTATCCCAGCTAGCGTGAATTTACATGTGGTGGTTTTGCATGGTGTGTTTAATCCTTTGGGGAAGCTTGCTCAGGTATTTGCTTCAAAACAATTTTTTGGATCAACCAACTTAAGAAAAAAGAGTGAAATGTTTGCATCAGCATGATGGCAACTTCTTGATTTAAAACCTTTCTCTCAGATCATGAATTTCCTGTCTAATGCTTAATCTTCAGGATGTGCTTGAATGATGGAGATTGGGTGAAGACATCCAGAAAATATAACTACTATAGCTAATAAAATAGTATATTCTCCCTTCTGCCCTCGTGCAGATAGCTGATCAGCCATTCCTCTCTGCATTGAATTAGTGTCTCTGGCCAGCAGTACAGTGTCCTAGCTTTGAAGCTGGTATTAACATTGTATTTGCAGATGTATTAAACGTTTCACCTGTTTTTAAAATTGCGATGAATGATTTGTGTGAGGCAGGCTAATAATGACTTGAATCTGAGCAAGTGCCAGTCTTTTTGCCTGCTAATTCTTGGTTTTTTTCTTTTCTTTTTACAGCTGAACCTGCAGACCTCTTGAAGGTATTAGATTTTCATAATTTACCTGATGGTATAACAAAAACAACAGGGTTTTGCACAAGCAGAAGGTCTTCGAAAGAAGCAGATGTTGCTTATAGAGTAACAAAAGATGCTCAGCTTAGTGCACCAACAAAGCAGCTGTATCCTGGTGAGTCCGCAGCTTTTTATTTGTCATATGGAAATATCCGATCCTTTTCTTAAATTCTGCAGGCATGTATGGGGGACTGTGCAATTCTTCATTTTCCAAGTGTGCTTGTATGCTCCCTTGGCAGGGAGCAATTCTGCTGTTTCAGGGCGCTGCAAACTTTCAGCCATCAAATGACATTGCAGTAAGTTGTTCTTTTAACATTGCATTTGCACATGGTGGCGGGTTTCGCTGCAGAAGATGTGGCCAATGCCTACATCTGTTCCCTCCTATGTTAGAAAGTTTCTACTGTCTCATTATCACACAGTGACATCCAGCTGGGGAGAGAGATTTGGAAGATGCAAAGGAACACAGACTGTGTTTTGTTCTGGGTTTGTGGAGTGCCAAGCACAGTAGGGTCTTATGCTGTGGCTGTGGTGTCTCTTGTAACACAAATAATCACCATATAAAAATAATACTGCCCCACAAGAACAGATGTCCCAAGAAAAGTTGTTTGAAGAAATCGGAGGTTCGTTAAAGCCACTAAGATGCAGGAGTTCACAAAGCCATTGAAGAGCATGGGCTACTGACCATTTCATTTGTCACTGAGGATGTACTGGAGGCTTTTAATTTTTCAGGCCAAGGGACAATCACTACTGTAGAGTAAAATGTGCTTGTAAAAAGACTGAACACGTTGTGGACCCAAACTACTCGCTGCGTGAGAGCTTCAGTCTTGAACACGTAGTCACCATCAGAAGTCTTCCTTCCGAAGCTGCACAGGAGCACTGCTGTATCCCTGTTTTATATGGGGGAGTGCAGGGATCCTGGGAGTAGGCATGGTCGGACTTTCTAGGTTTGGTGAGAAAAGTGCCTTTGCTGTGGAAGGTTTAGCAATGAGGCAGAAAAACGCTGCCTGTAACTTGTGTGTGAAGCAGAAGGCGCAAACACTCTCCTTTGGCATTTGTGAGAGAATTAATGATGCAAAATGCATTAGCTAAATCGGAGGTAATGTGGCATGCCACTACCAATGCTTTTTAATTAACACGCTGTATCTATTGGACCCAGCCTGTCAATGGCCTAAACAAGGACTCTGAGGCTGGACTGCTGCTGTGCTTGCATCCTCCAGTCCTGTATTTCCTTCATTGCATGTGTTATCGCTAAGGTTATTTTCAGACTTCATTATTATCCTGCTGTCACAATAAGCAGGCGAATTATATTTAATCTGTGGTGAGCAGGAGCATACCCTGTGTCTTGCATATGAACTGACAGCTTGACATGAAGATGAGAGCAGTTGTGCCTGGGCTGCAGGCTGGTAGCCCTCCATCGCATGGTCAACCCTTAGCGAAGGAGCTGCTCAGTTTTGCCTAAAGCCTTCTTTCAGCATCTGCAGAAGTGCAGAACAGACCCTACATTTGCCTTTATTGCTGCCCAGGGCAGGATGGTTCTTTCTGACTATAGATAATATTACGTGCCTAACTGCACCCCTCTGCCAGGCTGTGCCTTCATATCCCGGAGGATTTTGCCTGTGGATTATGGGGAATATTCATCCTAGGGATGGGCTGCAAGGGCCCTGCAGTGGCTTCTGAGTCATCAGTCTGTCCCAAGGCAAGATCAACTCAACCTAACCAATGTGTGTTTAACCACTTTCACGCACTCTTCCCACGTATCTGAAATGACTCGAAGTTTTGGCCCAGCTGGTATCTTCAAGCTCAGAACTGCTTGAATGAAATGGTCCCAGTTTGGAATATACAACTGTAGTGGATTTGAGAGCTTCCCAGTAGATGCTGTAGCCACTGTGAAATCTTGCCTGGTTGCCTTTGTGTTATGGAAACCAGCAAACAGTGGTGACCCCAAGAAATAAAAACAAGGATGGAGTATTCTGGCTAATTAATGTAGCAAGGAGACTGGATGACACCACTTATGACAAAGGTTAACACAACAAGGCAGCATGCAGAACCAAATTGTGGTCACAGGAGAGTGTAGTAAGCTATTATCTTGCTTTTGTCCCACCTTACTACTTGCATGTCCTCATTGAGTTCTTGGTTTGCATCTACTGTCTTCCTTGGGTGAGAAGATCTGGAAGGTATTTCCTTAGTGTCATCAAGCAACTTTTCAATCATTTCATCATCTGAATGACCATGGGGTGACTTGAAGCAGCTCCATCCCTCTCCAGAGACTTCCAAAGTCAGAGTCTCCTCTGCTGCTTGCTGAGGAAATAGGAAGGGAAGAGCAAAGTGAAGAAGCCCTGGTGTTCTCCATCAGATCGACAAATGTTTTTTCTAGCACATCTCCATAACTAGATGTGACTTCAGCTCACACCACCAAATGAATGAGAGAGGAGATAAAGATAACAAAGTAATTGCAGTGTGATGTACCAGGAGAAATGTGGTTTTTGTGATTTCACATTAACTGGCGGGTGGGTTGTAACATAACTTTCCCTCTCTGCTATAGAGCACCCTAGGCAAATGTACACTGCACATAATATTTTATGTTAATTAGAAGTCAGTGCTTTTCTAAGATGGTAATTTTATGGGCTTTGCATTCTGCTTCCATAGCCAGCAAAGCAAGAGAGATAAAAAAAACTTGTCTGTTTTTTCAAGCCCACAAGAGTGAGAAAATTTGAGATGCTCTTTGTCCTTGCTCCCTAAATAAGTTCTACTTCCCAGCAAAACCGTGCTCTTCCAGCAGAGGCAAGAAAGGCGAAGTTTTCAGTGGCAGCCAGCAAAATGTCATTTGCATTCTAGCAAACTCTGTATTCTCCACACTGCTTGTGGGTGTCCGCATATATATATTTAAGGGCTCAAAAAAATCTCTGTTATAGCTTGAACAGTCATCTCTGAGGAAAACAAGTCATTCCAAAATTGAGAGTCTTCTCAGATGAAGAAAAAAGCCAGAAGTTGGTGACACTGTTGAAGAGCTGTTTTCCTTTGAAAAGTGGCTCTGGAAATGACACCATCTCACACAACAGATCTGCTTTGTGTTTGTGTCAGGAACTGGATCAGCTCATTGTTTCTGCTGATTTTTTGCTATCAAGCAGCAAAGCTTTCCTGTCCTTCCCAGACTAAAGCCAGGGCTCTTTGTTTTAGGCTGTTTGCATACACCTGCAGGATCTGGGTTAGGCAGAGGTCCCAACTGTCTCTATTTTGAAGACCATGAGTTGCAGAAGAGCCTCTAATCCCTGGTGATGGTGCTCAGGAAAGAAGAAACTCAGCCTGACTCCACTGGTTTGCATATTGGGGCATACCACAGATGCAATCTGCTCAAGTGAAGCTAATGGTATCGGCGTGTGGGGAGCTGTGTGAGGTGGAGGGATTTTTTGCCCACCCTGGACCTCCTCGGCTCTTTCCATGGCTCCATCTGCAGAATTGGGGGTCTTAACCCTTCCTTGCAGGAGGCTGCATGTAGTGAATTTGAAAGGACTTGGCCATAGGGTAAAAGAGCAATGCTGACCCGAATTCGGCATCGGCACAGTGCCATTAAGTGAAGAGATGGATGTGCAACATCTCTCAGCATGAGCTCCTTTGAAGAAGTGAACAAATATAAGGGCTTAATCCCAAACCTGTTGTTGGAGGGGTGTCTCCATTGTCTTTAAGGGGATCTGGGTCAATTTCTGTGTGCTTCGTGTATTTATTATGATGTATTTATTAGTATTGCTGTCTGTGTGGATGCATTTTCATACATCATTTAATAGCCTGGGTCATTTCTAGCTATGACAGTGAAGGCATTGTTGTTTTGCCAGGACAGCAGAGCAGTAACAGAGTAATGTCAGCTATAATTCATCCATTATGGTTATTTGGGTTGAGAAACTCGCATCACCATGGAGACATTTTAATAATAATGAAAAAAATTAAAAGCAGCTTTTTAATGAGTTGGCAGCTTGTCCAAGTTGAAAGGTACTGTATTGTGGATTCATAATGAAATTTTGGACATGAACTATTTTACATAAAAGGCCCAAAACTGCAGCCTGTAATTAGAACCAGGAAGGCGTATGGTCTTGATTCAGTGCTACAGGAGGATTTGTATACAGCAGGAGGGAGATAAAGCTCAGTGCATCCTATGGGAGGCACAATAATCGGATGCCTGCCTTTGCCAAATATCTGGGTCTGTGTCCTAGGGGGAAATCAGGCCATAATCATGGCATTTAATTACTGACTGTGAGTCCTCTGTTCAGAATACTGCTTTATGCTTCTTTCCAAATGTTATTTAACTAAGGTGAGGGATGTTAACTTGGTGCAAACACAATGTGTCTCTAGGTACCCTCAGATGTCCCACTTGGTCTGCTCTGTTTGCACAAGCTGTTTGTAGCAGTGCTCCTTTTTGATGCAGCCCAGCCTGCGGGTGCCTCCTCCACTGCCTGGTGGTGCGGCTCTGTGCTAGGCAGCTAGATGCGTTTTAACCACTTGTTAATAAAAGTTAAAGCAACTCCCAGGCAGAAGAGGAGAGGGTGAGCTTGTGGCCTCTTTGCGTTTGAACTTGCTAGCTTTGTGGTTGGAAGAATTCCCCACTCCCATGTTCCTGGTCCCCTCCCTGGGTCAAAATCCCTTATGCAGCCCTAGGATACCATCTAAGAAAAGCCTAAAGGGGCAAAGGAAGTCTATTTGAAGCTTATGGGCACTGAGCTTGACATTTTTTGTGGTTTTATATGGCTACGGATCTGCAGTTTAAAAATGATCCATTGTGTTGTTCCCTTCCCGGCATGCCGCTGGCTGCCACACACGTAGATGGTCCCAGCACACGTAGCCTGCAGTGCCCGTGGCGGGGCTGTCCCATTTTGCTCTGCCCTGCTGTGGTTTAAGATTTCCCAGGCAGATACCCAACGGTACAATGCAATCCTTGTTTTTCAAAGCCTGGACCTTAAAGGAAAGATATGCTGCAAGTCTCATGCTGTTGAAATGCAGCATCTGAGGAGGTTATGCCCTGTAGGTACCCTCTGTTTCAATAGGCCCCATCTCCAATAATAATTTGATCAAGAAAGCTCCTTTACTAATGCTGCTGGTGTTTTTAAGATGTCCTGTTTGGGCTGTGCATCCAGGCTTTTCAGTTTGGGCTCATCTTTCCAGTCTGAATGGCAGGGAAAACCCAAACGGAGGAGTTGTATCTTGCACAGGGTGCAACTTGGTGCCCATGCTGCCTTAAAAGTTGAAATATATTCATTTGGTGTTGCAGGGGATTGACCCTTCCCCTGTGCAGAGCATTGCCTCTGTACTTGACTGTACCTGCTTCATACTTTCATGGCTTTAATCTTCCAAACCATGCAAAAATAGAGACAAGAATCACCTGAGATCAGACAGGGCTGCTTTCCTAAGTGGAGAAAACGCTAGGAAATTTTTGAGATGCTTTTTAATATGCAGGCAAACTAGCATCTCCTACTGATTGCCAGATTTATTTCTGTTTTCAGATTTTTTTTGTCTGCACCAACCCTGAAAGCCAAAGCCACAGAATGCTCTGTTCTCATCTGGAATAGACAAAACCTGATGCAACTTCCCTATTCCCTTAAATAAACCCTTTCAATACTGTATGTGTCTGACTGGCATGGGATGCTTAATTTCCTCTGTCCCCCTGACATATTAAGTTAATTGGGGGATGTCATGATATATGAAACAACAAAGTTTTTTGCCTTGTCTCCTAAAATGCTCTAGGCACACTAAGGAAGGGTTAGGTGCAAATAATACAGATTTAAACCAACAGCTTTTTTTAAAACCTCTGTTTCCTTGGCACTATATGGTCTCATCCCAAAACAGTAGACCCCTTGCCATCCTTTGCTTGCAAGTTCAAATGTGGGGTGGCTTTTGGCTCTGTGACAAATTGCAATAAGGGCTGGAAAAAGGCTTTCTGATTATAAATGAATTATCCTCAGAGATGCTCAGTTCTGCGCTTGAGTCTTAAATGTGCCATTAGAGTAGGTAGCCCTTGGTGGGGACTCTGCTCTATGCTGGCTTTGCTGGTGCAGGCTACTTTGGGTTGCAGCCCATCGCAACCCTGTATCGCAATAGGCTTTGGGGGAAAGCCAGATCTTCACCTGGCAACTAAGATGTTGCCCAATGTAAATTTTCAGGGTTGATGTGTGCACATCTGGAGAGATAAACCAGTGGTCTCCCCATGGGTTATTAGACACCAGGACTGTTTCTGTAGGGATTAATTTTCAAGCAAACCTGACTAACCTCTTTGCTTTTCTACTCCAGCTTCCCCATTCCCAGAGGACTTCTCCATTCTAACCACTGTAAAAGCGAAGAAAGGAGGTCAGTCCTTCTTGATCTCAATTTACAATGAGCAAGGGATCCAGCAAATTGGTGTGGAGATGGGTAGATCTCCTGTATTCCTGTATGAAGACCATACAGGAAAGCCAGGCCCAGAAGACTATCCTCTCTTTAGAGGCATTAACCTAGCAGATGGCAAGTAAGTGAAATTTTGTGCGCAAAGGAAAAAACGGTGCATTGTTTATATCAATACCAGCATGTTGAATGTTGTGTAAAATAGGAGTCATGTATATATAAATGTATATACACACCTTTGACTACTGCCAAGTGTCCCAGTCTTGAACTTTGCCCTTTGGTGAATAAATACTGCATACATAAAAAGCTTGAATCGCATACCGGTCAGTGCAAATTGTCTGACACTTATGGGGATAGGAACACTGTTGACTTCTGCTGTAAAGGGCCTTAAGAAATTGGTTTGTCTTGAAAAATCCACACTGAGTCTTTTGCAGGACATAAGGAGGGCGGGAAAGGGGGATAGCCAGGGAGTTATTGGTGCATTTTTTTCCTCTGCCTCTTGTTGAAGCCAGAACTGGCACACTCCTACCTGTTTTAGAGGGATGAGAAGCGAATGGCACCATCTGTCAATACAGTTTTTCTATTCAAATGAAATCTTTAGGGTCTGCCCAAGGATGATTTTCATGTGTTTGCAGATGATGCGTGAAGGTTTGCAGAACATCAATTTATGAAAGCTTCATTGTTATACAATCATTAGCTTGTTCTTGAAAGCCCAAGGCTCTGTTTAACACATTTATGGACTGTGTTCTTCTAGGTGGCACAGAGTAGCTATCAGTGTGCAGAAGAAAAATGTCACCTTGATTTTGGACTGTAAAAAGAAGATAACCAAGTTCTTGGACCGAAGTGACCATCCCATCATTGATGTCAATGGCATCATTGTATTTGGAACAAGGATATTGGATGAGGAAGTCTTTGAGGTAAGTCATATGACAATGAAGAGCTCTAGAGATGTTCCACAGGGATGATGAGCTGGGTTCTGGCTGATGAGGTATTTACAGCTCCTTTTTGGAACTTGTATTGGATTTCTGCATAATAGAACACTGTCGTATGTAATATAATTTTTAAGTTTTTGTTTTGACTAGGTAAAACTTTCTGTAGTAACGATGAGAACAGTGGGCCAGATGACCTGTTGGAGTGAGCTCCTCTGGTTTCATGCCCTTGCTGGGTTCTAGACCAGCCCCTGCACTGGGATTTTGTAGGTCTGAAGCTCTTATGCTCTTGGCTTGTTTAGCATGGGAAGGGCTCACAGGGCTTTCATTCATCCCTGTGTTATGATTTAGATCAAGTTGCAGGGGCAGTAAATGAAGGCTGAGGAAAGCAGCTCCCTTGCAAGTCACAGTTCACTCCAGGGCTATAGGAATTTGCTCTTTTCCCATGCATTGGCCATTGATTCTTGGTTTCTTGCACCACGACATAAGGGGACTCTCCTCGACAGCTTGTTTGGCAGCCCTGTCACCTCCCACGCAGCAACTGCTTTTAAAAAGCAAAGCAAAATCGTGATGGGTGGAATGTTCCCATGAGCTGCTTTGATTTAAGCAAAGGGATAGAGGATTATTTATAGACAAGGTACATATGGTGGAAGTTCTTCCCATAGTTCAGCAGCTAGTTTAATATATGCATTTCACTAGCAATCTCAACTTCTGTGGTCTGCTGCACTTCTGAGGCTTTCATGTGTATGAGAATCTTGTCCCTGATCTTCTTGCAAGCTAGAATTGCTTCCCTGAAATCAGTGCCAGTGCAACGGAGTGTAAACTAAGACCTATTGATCTCTACCTCCTCACTTTTATTGCATTTATGTGGAGAAAGAGCTGTATCTCCTGGGCCTCCCCAACCCAGCAAAGGGATGGGGAACATCTCCTGTTGGTGGATAATTAGAGCTGTACCGAAGCCAGCTCTTGTCTGCATTTTGCTGTCACTTGGAAGGAAAGTTCCAGTCTGTTTAACATTACCAACATCTGGGAGCTGATCTGCTGTAAACAGCAAGAATGCATGGACTGAACACTGCTGCCAAAATCCCAGTTACAGAGTTAAAGCTGAATCTCTAAATTGTATTAAATTAATAGACATTCCCTGGGAAGTTTAACAATTAAAACGGAAAGTAAAAGCTGGGTTTAATGGGCACTGGAGTGTCTTTTGCAAGTGTTGGACATTCTGCCAAAAACTTCAGCAGTCGCACTGGATGCCGTATTTTAAGTGGAGTTGTTATATAAAGTGGTGAGCTTTTCTGGGGAGCCACTGGACCCAGGGATCTAGTAGATCCACTTAAAGAACCTGGTATCACATCCCAACTGGATAAGAAACCTGTGCTTTAGACTACTTCATTTTGCAAAGTAACAGAGTTTCCATAACTGCCCCTGAAGCTTGAGATGTTCCCAGGTGATTTTTAGTGCTCACCTGGATTTAGGACTGCTGATTGCTCTGCCAGGCAAGGGAATGCATATGGATGGCAATGCTGTCCCAGCTCCACTGTTAGCCCTTCCCATGGGGCTGGCCCCAGCTCCCTTGCTGACAAGGACTTATCTAGGGGTACAAGCTCAGAGAGCTTGTGAAACCTCCTCAGTCCTGGGAGGTGGAGTAAAACGGAGCAAGTGTTCCCCTCGGCTGGAGCCTGTTGCCTGTTCTGGGTACAAGATGCAACTACAAGATCAGTGCAGGCACTTACTGAGAACTGGACAATTAGCAAGTATTTTTTTTCCTTTGTTTTATATGTACTGATATTATACAGCATGTCTATAAAAAGCTCTCTAGTTCTGGTATTTGTCCTTTCTTTTGTCATCCTCATCAAAGAGGGTTTTCGGCCTATCCACACACACTAATCAAGATACCAGCAGCTTTAAATGGAAAGTAATTAATAAGTTTGAAGGCAGTGGGCTATAATGTAATTTCCTTCATATCTCAGCAACTTAATTTCCTTTGGTTCCTCCTTTCTTATTTCTGCAGGCTAAGCAGAAACTGTACAGGGAAACATGTGGCTCAGAAGAGTGGGAAATGGGTGTAAACTGTTAAAGTGATGTATTCCTGGAAAGCTGGTAATTTCTGGACTGAATGCAGAATGATGGGATGAAGCTGCTGCTGTCCTGTAGGCAACTGCTCTGCAAACCTCAGCTAATAAGATGGTCCCCGGTGTTTTCTACACCCCTGGAGTTGCCTGGCTCTTACATGTTTGTTGCTTTTGCTGGAAATTAAAATAATCCAGTTAGTTGGGAGTGGGATGGAAAGCAGCACTGGGGAGGGCTTAGATGGGCTGTGTCTCAGCATGAATCAGCAAGGGCTGTAAGTAGTGGGAATTCATATCCTCCTTGTCAGGACTGAAATAATAAAAATAAAACCCCAAACACCTTTTGTTTTGAAAGTTGTAATTATTTAAGCTCTAGGTCTAGCTGGGGTTGCAAGCAGAGCAGCTCTGCTGTGTTTGTCGATTGAGTGCCCAGATGGGGACTTCCTCGCTCGTACTCTGCTGCAGAAAAACCCTGGCAGGAAAGGTTAGAGGAGTTTCAAAATATTTCTCTAGCACAACATTCTTCCAGTGGAAAAACTACTTCCTCTCATTAAAATTCAATTAGTTTGGAGGCTGTGTGGATCTCTGTATGGCTGGGGGAATGCTGGGTAGGTTTGGAAGGGGGCCAAGCCTGGAGCCTAGGTTATACAAGTTAAGTTTTGTGCTGAGCTGTTGTTCAAAACAGGAGTTTACAAATGTCAGGACAGGCTCTCGCGCTGGGGTTGGGAAGTGGCGGCTGGCTTCATGCTGTGCCTGAGAGGATGCTGTTGTGAGACAGTAAAGGGCTTTTTGCAGTCAGAGAAGGAAAGAGAAAAGAAATAGCCCATGGTGCAGGATAAACGCTTTTCCTCTGCTTGCAGGCTGTAGTAAGCAGCGTTCCTGTGGCTACAGCAGCACTGGAAGGAAGTCAGAAGACGTGTGAATGTATCTCATTTTTAGAGGGATTAACTTTCTTTTGATGTGCTTTTTTTTTTTTAAACATACATTAGAAACTAGGTCCTAGCACAGTCTAATGATTAGGCATGGGAATAGAGAGAGAATGACATCTGGGAAAGTCCCTTTCCCAGAAAGCAAAGCGTCTTCTGCCTGAAACCTAGGGAGACTTTCCAAAATGTCCTGGAGATGCGATGGCCCTGCTCCTGCCTCCACTTCACAGTGATGCGCTGCAGGAGCTGCCTGTTCAGTGCCCGCAGTCTCTGGCAGGAGTTGCCTTTTTGTGCAGGATCCCATCAGTTCTTGTGTGGATAACAAGAAACTGGAAGTGTGAGCCCATCTCTGCTGGCAGCAGTGTGTCAATCCCAAGGCTGACCCCTCAGCCTTTGTGCTGATCTCTGGTAGCCTGTGCCTGGTGTAAGAGCTGAGAATAAGTTCAGTGCTTGTCAGGCCAATGCTTTGCCTCCTTTGAGGGTTTACTTGGCTGTTATACACATGCTTCTTTTGCATATTGTACCCATCAACCATGGCTGCGGGCTTTCATCTGAGATTTGTCCTTGGAAGATGCTCATGCCAAGGAATTTTTGCTCCATGCACAACTTATTGCTGGGTTCAGGGGACAGTATCTATCTCCCTGGGGCTTGCTCCTTCCATCAGGGCAAGTGATCCGGCTTGAACACGGTCTCTCTCCCACCCCCAAGCAAAGCCTGGCGAGGCTTTGATTTGTTTAGCTAAAACAGCATGCAGCTCACTTAATCCATTTGACCACTGTTTCCCAGGACCATGTGGATGGCACCTCCCCGTGGGCTGGCTTTTCCAACCTGCCATTTGCTGTGGTGGTCTAGTGGAAAAGCAGCTCAGCGAGCTCTGGGCTGAAGAAATCATTCCGGTTTAGCAGATGTGGACTGAAACAAAGTTCAGGTCCTGGCTCAGTAAGGTCACTGGTGCTGTGTTTCAGTCCGAGAAGTGGCTGTATTACAGCAGTGAACAGAGAAATCCCATAACCCACAGCTGGAGGACCTTTATGACTGGAAAGTGCTGCACAATGTCTGTGGCAGGTAAATGTTACTGTCTCTGGGCTGGATTAGGTGAGCTTAGCCCCTTTTCAATGGTGTTTGGAAGCATCTCATGTAGTCCCATAGAAGTTTGGTTTCTGCAATAGTGTGTGGCCCAGCTCTGTTTTACTGCTTAGCGTTACTCTGTAGACCAGCACATACAGCAATGGGCTGATGAACAAAATGAAACTTGTCCGGACCTTGCCAAAGTTCTAGATATGTGACGTATTCCATATTTCTGCTGCAAATCCCATTTTGTGTTCTGAGCTGTCAGGAAGAGATGGTTGTGTGAGGCTGCTGTGCTGATAAAAGTACTGTATGGCACCTGGCTGGCAGAGCTAGCGTTGGCATTGTTAAAACTGTGGTGTGGACATTGCTTAAAAAAAAAAAAAGTAGGTTTTGATAAAACTGCTCAGGGTACCCTAGTAACAAATGAGTACATTTGATGTAAACTATTTTTGGTTCATCTGTTTAAAATTTTGCAGGATTGTCCTACAAGGTAACTGGTGTTTTGACCCTCTGTAAATAACGTTGGTTTGCAGCAGTGTCTGGTATTGGTGTATATGAAATTAGTTTTCCCAGAAGTGGAAAAGCTTAGTGCATGTGTAAATTGCTTTTTAAAGTTTGATTTCTACTGTTGGCCCCTCTGGAGACAAGAGGGGCTTATTTTGTACAGCTGGGTCCCATAACTGTCTCATTGGTGTAGTTGGTGCTGTAAACCCAAGTGGGTTTCCTCTGATCCTGCCCAACCAAGTTGCAAAGTGAGAGGGTCTTAGACACCTGTGGACACCGTTCTGCCAAGGCAGTGAAACCGTGAGGGGCTGACAAACTATTTGCTATTAGCTTATGCAATAGCTTGTCCTGGGATGAGATACAGCACGCTGCTGGGCTTTGGATGATGCTGAAAGGATGGTGCTTTATATTGTCTTTC